ATACCATCTGCAATGGGCAATCTTTCGAGGTTAATTTATCTCAATCTCTCTGGTTCTTTCTTTTCTGGTCAAATTCCACATGAAATTTCAAAACTTTCCAATTTAGCTAAGCTTGACCTTTCTTTCAATCTTGATCATTCACATCAAGGATTGTTGGAACTCAAAAGGTCTGATTTGAAAAACCTAGCTCAAAACTTAACCAAGCTAGAATGGCTTGACCTCTCTTATGTTGGTATAAATTCTCCAATACCAAAGGCCTTGGCAAATATGTCGTCATTAACACATCTCCACTTCGATCAATGTGGATTGCATGGAAAGTTTCCCATAGACATTTTTCAACTACCTAAACTTCAAGTCCTTGATTTGGAGAACAATTGGGAACTTAGTGGTAGTTTTCCTGAATTTCACTCTCACAGTCAGCTTAGGGCACTCAATGTTGGAAACACAACCTTTTCTGGTGAGTTACCTATCTCAATAGAAATGCTTAGCTCTTTGGAATATTTAGATGTCAATAGTTGTAACCTCTCAGGTTGGGTACCACCTTCAATTGGTAATCTCACCAAACTCCATGTATTGAACCTCCCAAATAATTCTTTCAAGGGAGAAAACGCCCCTTTCTTCTCAAACCTCACTCAACTAACTCAAATAAATCTTGGATTAAATCAATTCACTTTTAGTGAGGTCCCTTCTTCTTTGGCTAGCTTGACCCATCTCATAAAGATAGACCTTTCTTATAATCATATTTCTGGCCATTTTCCATCTTGGATTTCAAACCTAACAAATTTAAGACAATTGAATCTCGGGTCTAATATGTTACAGGGATCTCTTCCAAGCTCAATTTCCAAACTCAAGAACCTTGAAACATTCTTTGTTTACTTCAACAACTTAAGTGGTATTGTTGAGTTTGACACATTTCTTGAACTCAAATCCCTTAAATATTTGGAATTAGGCTTTAATAATTTCTCATTAGTAATCAAAACTCCCACCAATGGAACAATTCCAAAGTTTAAAAGACTTGGTCTTTTTTTTTGTAATCTAAGAGAGTTTCCATACTTCTTGCGTAATCAAAGTGAATTGAATGTCCTCAGCCTCGGCTCCAACAACATCCATGGCCAGATACCTAGTTGGATATTGAACTTGAGTGCAAATTTGTGGGCTTTAGATCTTTCTTACAACAAATTCACAAGGTTTGAAGAATCCTTCCTTGTTTTTCCTTCTAGTCTTCTTTATCTAGACCTTAGTTCTAACTTTCTTAAAGGTTCTCTACCAATCCCACCACTCTCCTTCCTTTTCTACTTAGTTTCCGGGAATATGTTCAGTGGAGAAATTCCACCTCAATTCTGCAACTTGACTTCTCTTCAAGTGCTGGATTTGTCTCACAATAATTTGAGTGGAACGATGCTGCAATGTTTTGGCAACCTTAGCTCCATGTTGGTTTTAAACTTGGAAGGAAATAACTTCCATGGTCCTATTCCTGAAACATGGGAAACTACAAACCAACTCAGAGAAATTAAAATGGGACAAAATAATTTGCATGGGAGATTACCAAGATCACTAGGCAACTGCAAAACGTTAGAGTTTCTTGATCTTGGAAAAAACAAGATCAAAGATATTTTCCCTTCCTGGTTGGGAGCTCTTCCTGAATTGAGGGTTCTCATTTTGCATTCAAATAGGTTCTATGGCACAATTTCAATCAAAGTACCAAAGACAAATTTCTTGTTTCCTAAGCTCCACATCATTGACCTTTCAGACAATGGATTTGTTGGCACTTTGCCAATAGACTCCTTTGCGAGATGGAATGCCATGGCTGATCTTGATGGGGAGAACACAACATATTTGCAAGCATATAAGCGCCATTTAATGAAAAACCTTCTCGTCATTCCTTTTGTATTTCCTTACTCAATGACAATAACAAACAAAGGAGAGAAAAGGGAATATCCAAAGATCTTGGAGGTTTTTAGTGCCATGGATCTTTCTTGCAACAAATTTGATGGAGAGATTCCAGAAGTAGTTGGGAACTTAAAGCGACTTCAATTGCTCAATCTTTCCAATAACATCCTTGTTGGTCCAATCCCAACAACCTTGGGATATCTTGCAAATCTTGAAGCACTTGACCTTTCTCAGAACAAGCTGACAAGAAGAATTCCTACACAGCTGACGCGGCTCAATTTTCTTGAAGTCTTCAATGTGTCTCACAACCATTTGACGGGTCCTATCCCGAAAGGCCAACAGTTTGATACATTTGAAAACAGCTCTTTCGATGGAAATTCAGGACTGTGTGGAATGCCACTGTCAAGAAAATGTGACTACTATAACTCCGAGAATTTGCCTCCAGCATCCTCAACCTCTGAAGGAAATGAAGACTCTGGATTGTTAGCTGAATTTGATTGGAAATTAGTGTTGCTAGGTTATGGGTGTGGATTCCTCATTGGTGTTGTCATTGGAAACATTGTTTTTACAAGAAAATGCGAATGGTTTACCAAGACATTCCGAATCTGGTAGCCAAGATGCAAAGGGAGGGGTGTGAAAGATTGAATAGGAGGAAGCAGTGAATATGATATCTATCCCCTATGCCAGCACTTCATTGTTATTTTTTTTTCTCCTACTTTTCTCTGTTTGTGATTACTAGTCAAGTTCAGTGCAAGTCCAATGTAAAGTATAGAGTGGAATTTCAGTCTTCATGAATAAGTACTTATGGTGCTACTTCAGCAGCTGATATGGAATATTAATAATTTCCTTTTAGTGAATTCTTTGCTTTCCATATAGTGAGAAACAGAGAAGAAAATTATATTCTAGCCAAAAAATGAGAAGAAAATTATATTCATTAATGTGAAAATTCA